CACCTGGGAAGAAACAATACAGTTATTAATACGATGTGTTGAAATTAATGCATGCATGTTTTCACAGCTCTAGAATCATTTCTTTCGAAATCAGACTATGAAGTTTACAGCCCGCCCTTATACCAGGAAAGAAACAATGCCGTTATTAATACAAAATGCTGAAATTAATGCATGCAAGTTTTCACATCATTACCTTCATAGACAGCCTATAGTTTTCAGTCGACTCTCCTATGGCAAACAATGGCAATGTTCTAATCCTCATTTCCTGTGTCTCTGTTCGAAATATTATCTTTTTACTTTAGTAATTAAGTACTTTACGACTTGTTTTTGCTGTAATTGAGTAGAATCTGTACGCATGCGCTTTGTGACCATTGTTATGAATTGTTTATGAAACCAGATAACGCGAAATAGCGGATACATATGTATCGTTGTTGATGTTATTTTCACTTTTATTATTTGTTAAACAATTTGAACTAGATTCTTTAATTTTGACATGAGTCATTATCATTCCAAGAATTCCATTTTATTGTTTATGCCGTTATCACAGCTTTTTTTCCACCAGTGCATTTTCTATCTACTTCAGGTGTAAAATCTATCGAAAGGGTTTAAATTTTCTTCTTTTTTTTGCCAAATAACATTAATCAATCTTTTTTTTAGCCTTGTAAATAGTACAACTGAGAGAAAAAATCATATGGACAAATATACTAATCGAGCCAACCCATTATGTTAATTCTTGGCAGGCGGTTCTATCTTTGATACGCTGGCTTTCGTTCCAATCCTTTTCTTTCTAATCAATCTACACTATATTGAAATTCACACTGGCCTGTCTTATATAATACATTCCATTCGGACTGTGTTTTTATTGCAATATTCTCTATATATCCTAACACTTTTCGAAACTAATTTAAATTCTTCTATCGCTGCCATTGAATTTTCCTCTTTGTCGAAAAGATTCTAAGATGCAAATGCTTGACCTTTGTGTTTACATCCGGTAAATTTTTCTGATAACGTTAGAATCGAGTCTCCCAATGATTCATTCATGTGCTTTCGACTTTCTTTATTGCACTCTGTTAGCTATTTCTTCTTCCCTTGTCGCTGTCCTTCTTCTCAGGACTGTAATATATTAGACAAAGTATCTGACAGTATAGAAATCTCTCTATCCCTATTCATCTGCGAACATTTTTGTGTTTGGCGATTTTAATGCTTATCATTCCAAGTGGCTTAATCATTCCAATATTGCTAATATTACAGGTATTTTCCGTTATTCATTCTCTGTCAGTAGATTTTAATAGTAAATTTCCCGACTTGTTTCCCTAATAATTCTGATCGATATGTTTCTTTGTTCCTTACCTCCTCTCCTAGCTCTTGTCGAGCATCACAGTCCCGTCCTCTTGGAAATTCGGATCACGTTGTAGTATCTGCTGATATTTCTTTTGAGTTATCTGTTAACCAGGAACCGCCTATTCACAAAACGTCTTTCTGTTAGCAGCGTACTGATTGGGATTCATTTCGTGACGTTCTTCGAGACACCCCTTGGATTGATATTTTAGCCTTCCTAATGAGAATTATGTCAATGAAATTTCTTCTTGGATCAAAGCCAGCATAGATGCTTTTGTACCTTCTCGTTAACACCAGGTGAAACCGCAATCTTATTCTTGGTTCACACCTGTCTGTTCAGCGGCTATAGCCCACAGGCATCACTTTTTTCTGGCTGTACTAGCGTGGTGGTTTCAATAACAACAGACGCCTCTTTGCGTCTGCTCGTAATAATTGTAAACGTGTTTTCAAAGTATTTTTGCTGACAGAATGAAGCACCGTGTTGCCTCCAATAAGTTCGGTTCTCATGACTACTCGTAGCTTTGTAATAGTGTCTTAAATAAGAGTATGTTTTCCTCCCCTTCCTCTCTTCACTCATTTTCAGGTAGTAATCTCTTTTGCTAATAAAGCTAATAAAGCAGAATGTTTTGATCGTAAATTATCTTCAAATTCTACACTTCTATTGTGTGATATGCATAAATCCGTACATGTTTTCTACTATCATCTCCGAACTTGATCCTCACAAAGCAGAACTTGATGGTATCCTTGCAATAGTCCTTAAGAAATGTGCTTTTGATCTGGCTCCTGTTCTCTCTAAACCCTACAATAAATGCGTTGTTATTTCTTACTTTCCTGCTTTTCGGAAATCCCTTTCTGTAGTTCTAGTCTTTAAGAACCCAATTGAACCCTCTGATCCTTCTATCAGACTGTTAACCTTCTACTTCTTTTTAGCAAAGTACTAGATTCTCTAATTAACTCTGAATTGGTTAAGCATCTCACCTCACATAATCTTCTTTCAGATAAGCAATATGACTTTTCTAGGTCAGCTGCTCATGTATTAACGGCTATTAATGAAATTGTATATCATGCTTTAAAAATGGTGAAGCTCTGGCTGTTGCTTTAGATATCTCAAAGGTATTTGACATGATTTGGCATGCTGGTCTTCTTCACAAGTTGAAAGATTATGATATTTCTAGGCGAAATTTTGAACTGATTCAATCTTTATCTAATGGTGAAATGAAAATTATTCTGAACGGCCATTCCTCTGGATCTTTTTGCATTAATGCAGGTATTTCCCAAGGCTCTACCCTTGGACCTGCATTGTTTTTAATTTTCCTCATAGACTTTCCTGGTGACATCAATTCTCAAAATTATATCTTTACTGATGACACAACTACAGTACTGTGCGAATTAATTGGGACAGTGACTTCAGTAAAATAGAGAAATGATATATTATCAAATTATGTTTATTTTTTCAAAAAGCTTTACATAACTAAAATTCCACAAATCAGTTTTTTATATGTTTTGGCATAGATTCCTTTAGTTTCAGACACATGTTGCCCAATTCTTCATTGTGATACCATATCTGAATGACCACACAGATTAGCTTCTCCATGGTGTTACGGTCGTGTTTATTGGTCATTGTTTCTCAACACTCCACAAGTTTTCAGTGGGAGTTCAGGTCAGGGGAATTTCTTGACCAGTCCAACACTTTCACACCCTCACTTTGAAAAAAATTCTTCATTTTTTCGACGTGTGGCATCTGCGTAAAATTCTTCTATTGTTAGGAGCATATGGACTTTCAAAAGATCTTCATATTTTGTACAATTCCTTGTCCCCTCAATTATTCCCAATCTACCGAACTCATTCGCAATAAAACTTCGCCAGAACATTTTCCTTGGAGCGTGTTTTGGCTTTTGCTCGATATGGGCATCTCTTATGAGTTCACCTTTGCTTCTCAGTACAAAACTGTAGCGATTACCTCTCATGTGAAAGAACGACACTTTTTCCAATGTTCCACTATGCAATCTTTCTGAGGTTTTGCTCATTGGAGTCCTTTATCTTTCATTCTTTCTGTGAAAAACTGTTTTTTGTTTGGTTTTCTGGTTGGTAGCTCCATTTCAAGTCGCCGTCTTTTGACAATTGAGTCAGATATAGACGCAACGGATTCCAGTAAATCTGCTGCCAGGTCCCTTTACACTTTCTCGGGTTTTTACTGCTGTTTCTGAGCAGCATTGCTTCGTCTCTTTTAGTCGTTTTCCTTTTTCTTCCACAACTTTCCTTTCTCAAAACCTTATTCTGACCCAATAGAGCCTGCCTTTTCATAATGCGTCCAACACTGGACTTGCTTATCTTGAGGCTTATGGTCTATTTGTCGCACAGATTTGTTTGAATGTGCATGGAGTGTAATAACATGTGCACGCTTTCTATGAGTTATATCCATTTTTATTTTGCCTGTTGAAAGAAAATAATCAGGTTAGTTTTGACATCAGAAGCAGAAACCAAAAAAAAACCCATAAATCTGACAATACAATATAAATCACACAATTCTTAACCAAATACAAAGTTTAGTCTCAAATAAATTCTAAAATATTCAACATTGTTTCAAAAGTGTTCTATTGTAACAGGAGTGCGCACTGTCATGGCTTCATTGTCATTAAGAGTCATTTAACTATTGTGACGCTGTCCAAACGCGGTTTAAAGAAAAATATATTAAACTGAAGTCCCTGTCCCAATTAATTAGTACTGTACTGTATTTACTCCTGTCAAAAGTAAGTCTGATCCGTTCAATAAGGTCAAATATTTTAGGTCAAAAGCTGACTCCAAAAACTATTGTTTACTGGGGCAAGAATTAGCTTGTTGACGCTTCCAAAACGAAACTGCTCTCTTTTAATCGTCTGAGCGAACCTCTTTTGCATTACATGAGTATGGCTTATGCTAACCCCCAGGAGAGTAATTTATTGCACATTCTCGAGTTAATATTTTCCGTTGGTATGAAGTGGACAAATTATATTGCTAGGTCTACTGTTAGAAAGGTTGGTTTACTGTGTCATGCTAGACAATTTTTCTCGTCAGAAACTATTTTACACATTTATAAGATTTATCATTCATCTATGTATTGTATATTGCTTTCATATCTGGTCTGGTGCTTCTGCTATATATTTAGAGATTCGTGATAAAATCCAAAGAAGAATCTGCAGTTTTATTGGTCCTGACTTGGCATCTCAACTTCAATCATTTTTACCAACGTAGCTTCCCTGTGCCTTTTCTACAAATATTTTTAGGTAATTGTTCTAATGAGCTTTCCTCTTTGGTGCCTAGATTCTACGAATTTAAGCGTAGTACTAGGTTGGCAGCAAGGTCTGACCTTTTACAGTTAAAATGGCAAGATATAACCGTAAGTCCTATCCTAACAGTTTCTTCTCTCGCACTTCTAACTTATGGAACTTTCTTTTGGCCTCTTGCTTTCAAGTCAACTTTCATCTTCTAAAATTTAAATGCGATGTCAATCGTTTTATTCTGTCTTCCTAATTTTTGTTCTGTTATTATTCTCGGTCCTTAATAATGTTTTTCCTTCCCTCATATTCTCTTATACTTAGTAACCCTTTGTATCTTAGTGGTTTTATTGCCTTGCTTGGGGTATAATGATTAAAAAAAAAAAAAAGGATATCGTTTTCTTACAG